TGCGTAGCTGCTGGCCCCGGGAGGCCCCGGCGCCGCGGAGCCGCATCCTGGCGGCCTGGTGGTGACGGGCCCGCCGGGCGGAGCATGGCGCCACCGCAGGGCTGGGCCTGTGCTGCGGACCGCGCTGGGTCTGGAGGACAGAGAAGCAGGAAGGGTCATTGGCTGTTGTCCCCGCCTCCGAGGTGCCCGCACCTGTCAATTGTGAGTGGACGCTGCTCTCTGCCAAAGGTGGCTCTTGTAAGTTAGGGAGAAGACGCTTCCTCTTCTTGGAGACTAGCCTATCTACCTCTTGCACTTGCAAAGCCCTTGGAAGTACCGTTAAAATCGACCGTAGCAAGGTCTTTTCCCCACCTTATTGGAGATGCTTAACAATCTTCGTCAGCAAATTGGACTTAAAATGTGTCTACTCGCCTTCCAGCAATATTTAAATCTTCTTTCTGCCTCTTGTAGAAAAATTACCAAGTCTGTTCTCTCCCTCAACTGTAATATGGCCTGTAAACCACTGATTGTCAAAACGCGAATTCAGAAAATGTGTAAAAGTTAATTTAACATTTTTTTCCCCATTACTAGAGTGATGGTAGTTTTGTGGCAAGTTCTCTTCCTAATTTAAAATCACAGCTCTACCAATTATTTGAGCTGTACTCTAACATAAATTACAAGATCTAAATTTCTAAGTTGTGAAACATCTATGAAAAAAAGTGATGGTTATTACAGAGTGAATAATGCTTACAGAACACTTAATACATAATAGGAATTGAGTGGCCATCCTGATTCCCATTTTCTGATTCACTACGTTTCTTGTTTTATTCCTGTTAAATTTTTCCTAGGACATTTCATGGACTCGGACTTTCTGGAGCCATGGAGGCTAAGCTAGATAAGTAAAAAATAATTACTGCCCTGAGATAATCTTGAAACAAAAAAGTCCCTGAAATCTTAAAGCTAAACAATTGTTTGGTTTAACTAATAAAGCATTAACTAGTAAATGCTTTCAGAATTATTTTAACATCTGTCTACATGGGATCAACTTGATAAAGGAACTAGAAACCCTAAGGAGCAATGAGTTCATGTCATTGAGGAGGAATGACTCAGAAAAGGAGAGTGAAAATGATAGCACGATTAAAATATAATCACTGAATCGTTCATGTAGAAATTGTTGAATTAGTGTGTTCTGTTGAATACATTCTCAACATCCACAAAAAAATCAGCATTTCCCCCCCTAAAACGTCTTCTAGACTTAAGATTTTATCTTACCTTCATTCACAGCTGTCCATGAATGTTCAAGGGACCTGTAAAGAATTTAACAGCAGAAAGCCAGTAATCTTTGAGCTTTGACTAATTGGCAAAAATGGTATTACCAGCTTGCCTAGTCTAGGCCAACTATTTTAATTGTAGGCTTAGTACAAGAAAGGTTGAGATCTAGCAGTGTTTCTCTTTCTGTTAGGAGATATGTACCCACTTGGAGATATTTGAAATTCCAAGGCAAAATCTAGTGCTTGCAAAGACTGACCCTGTTCCAGTGATTACTTCTGTGAAAGAGAGAGATTGGTGACTCATTTCTTCCTTCTCCTTGAATATGCTAAAATTCCTCCATTTGCATTGTCTCATTTTAAGGGCTGGTAAAAATTCTTACATTGTTCAGGAATGGATTCCCCCCC